AGAGAGTAATTAGTCGGCCATAGGCAGTCGGACCCTAGTAGCAAACATAACCAGCCTTGGTTGAAATGCACTTAGTCACAGTAGTAAGGTACCGACTGAATTAACCAACTTAATGAATTTCAAGACACAAGGGTCGCCTAGTTCTTAGAGAACAGTCGGCTAGTCGTTGTTTTATCGATTGTCACAAGTCCCTTGGTATGTTTACGAGAAACATAGTAGGGTGCTTGTTGTTTGGACGACTGTCAATTCAGATGTATCAGTCGTTATCACATCCAGTCGGACACCGAAAGGTCCTTCTAGATTGCTCAGATTCATTTAGTATTTCTTAGTAGGAATGTTTGTTTGAGTGCCTTTTTGCCAAAGACTAGGCGGACTGCTTAAACTTTTTAGGATTCCGGACTAAGTATGGGAGAACAACTATGGTTTAACTATGGCGTTAACCAATTGTAGCTGCTCTTAATCCTGAGTAGTAGAGGTATTAGTCGTCAATGGCCGACTAATCCCCTTGATTCGTCAATTTTTGTTGACTATTAACTCAGAGGGCGCCCCCTGTATCTATCTCAAGTAATACAGGCGGCTATCCGACGCAGATGTCAACTGCTGACATTTATGAAAGTGTCGAGTTATCCTTGTCTCAAAACGGATACGTTGTCCTTGAGGGACAGCCATATAGGGTTCGTGTAAGTAGTTTATAGAGCATTATTCCACCCAAATGGGAGCATCTCTCTGCGACGAATCTCATCCAAATGGCATGTCGTCGGACACCTGCTATTTATTGGGACAGGTCGTATTAATTTAAAAATTAAGCGTAATCAAGCGGCTTGGTGCCTGCGTTGATTAGCCGTATGGTGGGAAAACAGGCGAGCCCTTTAGTATGATGGAGGGTATCCGCCTGAGACAGACGGAGTGTACTCCTTTTTGAAACATATAAAAAGAGGATAAACTTGGAACTTTCATTAATAAACTTTAATTGATTACATCAAAAGTAATATTTTTTCGGATTGTTTCTACATTCCAAATCCTAGGCAGGGGTCGGCCCTCTGGAGTTTCCAGACGGTAGGTGCCATCCTTGACCTCCTCATAGATTCGGTAGGGTCCTTCCCAGTTAGAAGTTAGCTTTCCCAACTCGTTGGCCCTGCCGACTGATTCCATCTTCCTTAGTACAAAGTCCCCTACTTTGAGTGGGCGCTTGTGTACTCTTTTATTGTAGATTCGAGTCATTCTCAGGCGGTATATCTCATGGCGTAGGGCAGCATTGCCCCTACGTTCTGGAAGGGAATCCAATGCTAGGCACATTGCTTCCCAGTTTGCATCTTCATCATATAACATAACTCGGAGAGTCTGCTCATAGTGCTCAATGGGTAGGACAGCTTCTACCCCGTATGTTAGGAGGAAAGGTGTTTCTCTAGTCGCTCCTTTTTCAGTCATCCTTATGGACCAGAGAACATGTGGTAGTTCATCTGTCCATAGGCCGCCTGCTTTCTCAATCTTCTTCTTTATACTGTCTGAGATGATTTTGTTAAATGCTTCGACCTGGCCGTTTGCTTGCGGTCGTCCAAGTAATGCAAAGTTGTAGGCAATGCCTTGATCTCTCAACCAAGTTTTGAGAACGGGCGTCTCAAACTAGGGACCGTGTCAAAAACCATAGACATAGGCACCCCAAAACAAGTGATCACATTCCTCCAAATGAAGGAGATGACATCCTTGGTCTTGATACCTCTGACTGCTTCGGCCTCCACCCATTTGGTGAAGTAGTCGACTGCTACCAGGATGTATTTCTTGCCGCCTAGTGCAGGCGTATAAGGTCCTAGAATATCCATGCCCCACTTAGCAAATGGTATTGGGCTGTGGATAGCCGTTAGATCTGTAGCTGGACGATGAATCAATCTGCCAAACCTCTGGCACTTGTCGCACTTTTTAACCAGATCCATGGCGTCTGCCTCCAGAGTCGGCCGTAAATACCCTTGTCGCCTCACTCTCTGAGCAAGCGACCTACCGCCTATGTGAGAGGCACAATATCCAGAGTGTAGGTCTTCCGGGACCTCTCGCCCTTTTTCTGGGGTAACACATTTCAAGAAGGGTTTAAGGTACCCTCTCTTGTAGAGCTCTCCCTTAATCATTTCAAAACTGGACGCTCGCTTCTTTAGTGAGGCCGCCTGATGATGATCATTCGGCAAGGTGCCGTCTGTCAGGTATGTCCTGATTGGGTCCATCCATGTTGAGCTTCTATCAAGGACTACAACATTGTTTTCCTCAATACTCCACTTTTCCATTACTTCCCAAAATACAGTTCTAGGAGTGTCACATGAGGCCGAGGATGCCAGTTTGGACAAGGCGTCCGCCTGGTTATTCTCGGACCTTGGGACCTGAGTTTACTGGAAATCTTCAAGCGAGCTTGCCGCCTGTTTCACGGCCTCTAGGTACTTGACCATAGCCGGATGAGTGGCTTCATAATCCCCATTGTACTGGCTGACTATGAATTGTGAATCAGAACAGGCGGCTATCTTTCTTGCCCCGGCTGCTTTGCACATGCGGATACCAGCCAAAAGGGCTTCATACTCAGCTTCATTGTTTGACGTCTGAAACTTGAAACGAAGAGCATATTCATACATGTCACCCTCTGGTGACTGACATACAATACCTGCCCCACAACCATTTGCTGTGGAACTCCCATCAACATAGGCTTTCCAAAGTTGGTCAATTTTTTCACATTCTGGTGGCCGGGTCATCTCAACTATAAAGTCTGCAAAGGCTTGCCCCTTCACAGCTTTTCTGGGCTTCAACGTGACCTCAAGGCTTTGGATCTCAATTTCCCACTTTATCATCCGCCCTGACGACTCCATGGTCGTCAGGGGCCGTTTGATCGGCTGGTCAATGTAGACGACCACCGGATGTGCCAGGAAATAAGGCTTAAATTTTTTCACTGCCATGTACAGGGCGAGTCCAAACTTCTCCACCAGTGGGTACCTCAACTCTGCATTCTTTAAAACATGACTGACAAAATAGACTAGGAGTTGGCAGCCGACTCTTTCAGCTAAGAGGACGACACTTAAAGCATGATCTGATACTGCGAGATACATGTAAAGCACTTCTTTTGGCAAAGAACTGACGAGTCTCGGCAGGGAATGCAGTTGTTCTTTCAGCTTTTGGAGGCCCGACTCAGCATCCGGTCCCCATTCAAACTTTACTTTCTTTCTGATTGCCTGAAAAAAGTAGAGGCACTTGTCGCCTGCCCGACTAAGAAACCTTCTGAGGGCTGCCAGGCAGCCTGTTAGCTTTTGTACCTCTCGGATGGTGCGAGGCGACTGCATTTCAATGACCTCCTGCACCTTATCAGGATTTGCCTCTATTCCCCTTTGATTTATGAGGAATCCGAGAAACTTCCCAGACTCAACTCCAAAGACACACTTTTTTGGATTAAGCATGACTCGGTGCCGCCTGAGTGTGGCGAATGTTTCTCGGAGGTCTGCCAGATGGTCCGTTTGAATTTTTGACTTTACAATCATATCATCAATATACGCCTCAACATTTCTTCCAATTTGTTCAAAAAACACAGTGTTGATCATTCTTTGGAAGGTTGTCGGGGCGTTCTTTAGACCAAACAGCATGACCGTGTAACAATAGGGCCCCTGTTCTGTGACAAAGGCAGTTTTCTCTTGATCTTTTTTCCATAGAAGAATCTGGTGAAAGCCTGAGTAGGCGTCCATGAAACTCAGCAAGGCATGGCCGACTGTTGAGTCGACCAAGCTGTCGATCTTTGGCAAAGGATAGCTGTCTTTCGGACATGCCTTGTTTAAATCCGTGTAGTCCACACACATGCTCCATGAACCATTCGGCTTCTTGACTTGTACCACATTTGAAACCCATTCTGGGTAGAAACACTGCCGAATGTATCCCGCATCAAGTAGCTTCTTTACTTCGGCGGCGGCCGCCTGATGTCTTTCTTCACCATGATGCCTTTTCTTCTGTCGTACCGGTTTCTTTTTCGGGTCGACAGCTAGCTTGTGTACCGCCAGGTCTGGACTAATACCTGGCATCTCATGCACTTTAAATGCAAAAATATCACTCTTTCAGCAGCTGGCGAAGGTCATTGCCAAGTTCAGTCAGAGCAGTCGTCCCCACCTTAACAGTTCGGTCTAGATGACTGTCATCGAGAGCGACATCAACGTGCTCCCTAGCTGGCTGAGGGCGGAATTCATCCGGCCGCTCCTCAGCCAGTGATTGCTATTGCTTATGTTTTTTCTGGACCTCCGCCTCGAAGGCTTTTCTCTTCCTGCCGTCTGCCTCTTGAGCAGACGCTTCTTCTATGGCTTTGCCAGTTTAGCCGTCTGAAGTTACCATTGTTTTGATGTCAGTGAGGTAACATTCTCTGCCATTCTCTGGTCCCCCCTTATGGAGCCGACTGTTTTATCGTCCTTCTCAAACTTGAGCAACATAAGGGATGGAATGATAACTGGTTTGGAGTCATTAAGGGTGGGGCGCCCAAGGATCATGTTGTAGGCAGTAAGTTCTTCCACAACTAGAAAACGAATGACCATGTGGCGGCCCTCACCTCTCTCACCCAGACGGACGGGCAAGTCAACCTGACCAATCGGATGGACGACTCCCCCTCCAAATCTTACGAGAGGATGGGAGACAGGTTGTATACTCTCAGGCATGTACTTGAGCTTGGTCAAGCACTTATGGCTGATGAGGTCCGACGAACTCCCTGTATCAATAAGTATCCTGCAAACTCTTTGGTTGGCCACTTTACACTCGATGACAATTGGGTCGTCATGCGGCCGTCGGACACCACCAGAATCTTTCTCAGAAATAGTAACCTCAGGAAACGAGGTACCAGAGGTCTCACCCCAATTAACAGAGTTAACATCCAATTGCCTGATGCTATCCTTGTTTCCCCGAACATTCGGGCCTCCCCCTGCATAGCCGCCTGCTATTGTATACCTGGCAGCTTCATCAGTGTCAGAGCTGTCGGCCGGCTTCTGTCTTTTTTGCCTGGTCTACTGATTTTGTTTGGGGGGCTGTTTTCCTTTAGGTTTCTTGACATAAGAGTCCAGATCACCCTTTTCAGCCAACTGATCCAGCAGACGCTTAAGGCTAATGCATTCGTTGGTCTCATGCCCAACGTCATCATGAAAATGGCAGTGCTTGCCTTTGTTGCGCTTGCTAGGATCACCCTTCATAGGTGTCGGCTTCTCAAGTGAGAGTCGGCCCTTAAGTTCTTTGAAAATAGTATGATTATCTTTGTTGAACTCATACTTAGGGGAGTATGGAGTGAACTCTTTTCTCTTCTTACTGGACGGCTGACTAGTGGAGTCGACCATCCAAACATCTTTTCTCTTCTTATCTTCCTTGGGGGCCGCCTTCTGTGAGCGACTCTCCTTTTTCTCGGACCGTTTCTGATCTCCTTGCTTTCCCATGTGACAAAGGTCGACTGCATGTATGTAGGTCTCGGCCTCCATCATTGCCTCTTGGAGAGTAGCTACTCTTTTTCTAACAAAATCGAACTTGAAGTTCGACCCGTCCTTCAATCCCTTGAAGAAGTCGGTATAGGCTACTTCATCCGGCAAGTTTGGTATTTGTATCCTCATCAGATTGAATCTCTTTATGTAGGAGCGTAATCCCTCCTTTTCTCCCTGCTGGACGGCTCCTAGATCAAGAGTCGTCTTCCTGGAAGGTATGTTCATGGAAAAGTTTGATGCAAACAAATAAGCCAATGTTCTGAAGTTGTTGACACAGTCGGCCGGCAGATTGCCGAACCACTGCTGGGTGACTCCCTTCAGAGTGGCAGGAATACACCTACCCCATGTGGCATCGTCCAATCCTTGAAGGTACATTAGATTGGTGAAGGTCATAAGGTGATCCTCTGGGTTAGCAGTGCCATCGTAGGCGCCTATTAACACATTTTTCACTTTAGCCGGCTGGGCGGCTTGTAAAATTTCCTTTGAGAAGGCGGTTGGTTGTTCTCCTAGTTGGAGTAGCCGTAACTGCCAGTCCAAAGGCTGGACATTCTTAGCCATCTGACCTCCAAAAGGTGGTGGTGGAAAAAGTAGTGAGTTTGCGGCACATATGGCGGCTGAGTGGCATACGGTGCCGACTGTTGCTGGTGAGAGCTAGAACCGGAGTGTGTACTGCTTTTCTGGATCTCATAGTTTGACCTTGAATGATTCATAGAAGTGTTTTGTACACTGTCAAGAAAATCAGAAGTGGAGGCCGACTCAGACTGTTGTTGGCTCCTTTTTTGCTGAATCAGCAGTCGGGCGTCTGAGTAGGATTTCTTTGAGCCGTCTGGTTGAACCAGGCGTATTGGTTTCCTTCCCAATGAGGCAGGGATACAGTGCTTGGACAAATTGACTAGAGGTACCCGCCTCTCCTCTTGGCGAGGGTGGGGGGTGGCCTCACGGTCCTTCAATGACTTCTTCTTTCCTGAATAGGAAGGTTTTTTGCTCGACTGCCCTTTTTGGGGAACAGCCGCCTTTTTGTTGATGAGATATTTAATCTCACCCTTGAAACTTCTCATGATTGTCATAAGATCATTGCTCGAGACAGGAGTTGTCCAGTCGACCGCTTGGTGAGAGTCGGCCGAAGGTCCGACTGTTTGGCCTGGACCAGCCTGGCCTTGCCGTTCCTGCCTTTCACGAGGAGTAGTGCGTCGAGCTCTCAAGGACCCGTCTGGGGCCGTGCGAGTCTCAACTTCAGGCTCAGTGTCTTGATCAGAAGAAACATGAGGCTCGTCTTCTTGGTAGTCGTCCTCTGGACGCTTGTCACTATTAGTCGGTACAGATTGTGATGCCATCTCAAAGATACTCTCCCACAGACGGCGCCAAAATGTTCCGGGGTTTTCTGTGTCCCTTAGGAGAGTTACAAATTCGAGGCTGGAACCACGCGCTTGTACCTGCAAGATAACGGAGACTCCTTGGGTAGGGAGCTTCGCCTCCAACGATCAAGTTAGTAGATGAAGGAGTTGTAAAGCAGAATGTAAATAGGTGCCGGATGCTAGGACGGGTCTAGCAGGCGGTACCGAGTGATGAGATTGTCTTGGGATTAGTGTAATCCGAGTGTTTCTTGTGAACAGTCTCTTGTCATAAATGAGCATTTATGACTGTATTTATAGTCTTGGGAAGCGTGCTAGGTTCTAGGGTTTTTGGCCAACCCTAGGACTGAATGGGCTTTCTTGGGATTTGGGCCCAATTTATTACCTGTTTAGGCAAGGCTGAGAGGGCCACATGGCATGACATTGGGGGTCCATGGTGGACCAATGGAAGCGTGCCACGTGGCAGGTCCTGATAAGCCCAACTGGGTGACACTTGTCAGGCCCTGATTGGTCCACGTGGCGAGAGGTGATTAAGGGAAAATCCCCCTAATCAGATAGCTAATTCTTTAGTAAGGTCAAGTGATCGGAATGCCTAGGTGGAGGCCACTTTCGATCAGTAAAATTAATGTACAATTAATATTACAGCTTCATCTTGACTGAACTCTTCGGGTCGAACCCAATCGAACAACCGATCCGAGACGACGAATCAATCCGAAGGATTTGATGAGTCGTCGGAGTTTTACAAACAAAGACGTCGGAAATCGAGCTTAGAGCGTCGAGATCGAGCGTCACAAGTCGAGTCGAGTTTGGAATTCGACGAGACATGAAATCAATTAAGTTACAAGTACGAGCCTAGTCGTAGCCTCGCATTGGCCTATCCATGTGAGTGCTAGGCTAGGCAAGACTCATCGCAAGCCTAGCATGCTAGGCGTGCTAAGCCCATGCATGCTAGCTAGCCACCGCAAGCATCGAAACCTTGCGTGTGTGCTAGCAGGCCATAAGCCCAAGCATCGCAAGGCTAGGCCTTGCTAGCACGCTAGGTGCTGGCGCTAGGCAAGGCCTAGCACTGGTCGTCGCACCATCGCAACCACGCACCATCGCATAGAAGCATGCTAGGCGTGCCATGCTATGCGTGGTGCTAGGCGCTGGCACCCTTGCTAGCACTACATCGCTAGCACAGCACCAAGCAGCAGCGTGCGTGTGCATTGCTAGCACAGCACCAAGCAGCAGCGTGTGTGTGCGTGTGCATCGCTAGCACATCACCAAGCAACAGCGTGTGTGTGCGTGTGCATCGCTAGCACAACACCAAGCAGCAGCGTGCATGTGCGTATGCCTAGCATTGCAGCGCCCAGCATGCGTAGGGTGCTTGCTAGCTGGCTGCGCTATGTGCGTGTGGGGTGCTAACTGTGCTGGCTGGCTGCCCAGCCTTGGTGCTAGGCGTCAGCTGGCAGCCTTAGCAGCCAAGGCAGGCTGCCAACCAGCCACATGGGGGATGCCGATTTTGACTAAGTGGGGACCAAGGGTTGTGGGCATTGCCTTGGGCACCAAGGTTACGGTCCCCCCTTGGAAATGGTCCTCACCTAATCTCTCTTCCTCCTTTTGCCACTTGTAAAATATTGATTGCATTGCAATTTTATTTTTGTTTTAATTAAAATAAAATGGGAAAATTGCAAGTCTCCCACATTGATCAAGAGTAGGAATTCAAGGTTCATTTCCCTATAAATTCCAAGGTTTTGGGATTTGGGAAGAACACTTGAATGGAACTAAAAAGGCATCTCCTTTAGAAAAGTGAGAAAACCTTAAGTTCATAAAACTCTAGTTTTTATTGGTCGGGTCTCGACTAACCTTCGGGACTTGGATCGTTCGGGTCGGGTTCGTGGGTACGAGCCGTCAAATACCTTGCATTTGCGGGGTTCAAGTAAGAGCTCGGGATTCGAGCGAAGCACGCGACCAGGGTAAGAATGTCTTTTCTTTCTCTCTCTTAATTGTTGTTTAATTAGTGATTGCATGCTTAGTCGCTTTAATTAGTGTGCGGGTCTTGGGTGGGTTTCCCTTCCGCGTAGAGTCGGACTCTACGAAACCCAACACTAGCTACTAAAGTATCTAATTCGACTTAATCAATCAATATGAACTCAATACATCATAATTTATTATCAGAATTCAAGATATAAATCTGCAAACAAATTAACAAAACAATTAGTATGTAAAATATAAGAAATTAAGAGGTAAAAATTTAGTAATTCACCTATAAAGTCACGGAATATGGATGAGTGGATGACGTAGCAGTGGAGCACCGAGCACGGGAGGCCAAAGGCGACGCCTGTGGGACAGCCGGCAGCGAGAACAGGGGCCGGAGCGGTGAACGGCGGCGGCAGCTTACGGGATGATAGATGATTGCAGTAATTTAATTATCTTTGTTACTTTTTCTCTTTTTTATTGTGATTTGTCTTTGATTTTCGATGATAATAACATTTTTGTAGCAATGGTGCTAATAACGTGTTAAATATGGAAGAGAAATAAAGAGAGATATGAGAGAAATTTTTGTTACATTCTATCTCTTATTCCATCTAATACGGGATATATATACATGTATATTATCTAGGGTTTCATCATCGGATAAAATCAAATACCCAACTGTAGAATGTTCTAGATAATACATGGGATAATAGTCATCCACATTTAGATATTTTATAACAAATAAATAAATTAATGTTAGTTAAAATGATGATTGGGATAATGTGTGAAAATAGAAAGAGTCTTGTATGAGTCTAAATAATAAATAAAAAATTAATAAAAAAAATTAGTGGAAAGCTGATGTGGCAGAGTATGGAGTATAAGTTTGGATCTAGGGATAAACTTACCCTTAAAGCATAGCCAATGGATGCCCAAGTTGATGGTGGTCATCATAATTTCTATTACTTTCTTTCTTCCACCCCGTTTATGTCCAACTCTCATGCCCACTTATGCCCATGCACTCACATTGGTTGCCCTCCAATTTTGTGGGCATTGATTCTCCATTCCTTCCATTTCCCACGCGAACCCACATTAATTTGAAAAAAAAAAAAAAAAAAAAAAAAAAAAAAAAAAAAAAAAACCCTCTCTTTGTTGGACAAGTGACGAAATACCACTAAATGCCCACACTCAACAAGTGGTCTTGGCCATGACCTGGTCATGAATCATTTCTCACCAAATACAACCTTTTCATTTTTTAAGCTTTATTATTTTTTTTCTCTCTTCATGTCCATCCAAAATGGACTACCATTGACTATGCTCTTAGTTATTTTCAAAGTTATTATTGTAGCATGGAAACAAAATAATGGACATATTTTTACTATGTTGTCATGTCATATAATTTTTGACATGTCATTAGTGTGTCTAACTTTCAATTCAATTTTCTGTAAATTTTCAAAATAGCTTATCAACATAATCTACTTTTCTTATATGCTATAAAACAGTTTTATCCTCACAATCTACATATTTTATCTTCTAAAGATTTATGGAACATATTAACTTTTCAATCTTAATTTTTAAACTTTAAGATAACAAACAAATCATTATTTCTAATGAACATCAATCGCTTAATTTTTTGTGTACAGAAAATTGTTTGGTGTAGTCTATGAATTCATGATAACCTTTCACACCAATACATAATACCACCAACAAAGCTACGAATATCCCTTATTTTACTAAAATAATCTTTATATTACTAATGATAATTAAAATTCTACACATTATTTCAATAACACGCATTTCCATTTTACCAGTCATACCAGAACAGCACCAACGTCACAATGGATAGCATCAACTAAAACAACAGTGTCAAGTTTTTAACATTGCCAACAATGGTTATGGTGACAAGCCACCATTTACCAATGACTTGCCTCGTGTAACTGCTACCCATCTTACCACAGCGCCACCAAAATATAGGGAATAATAACATTAGAATTCTGTTAAAAGTCTGATTTACCAGCATGATTCAACTATTCAGTATTTGTATTGCAAATATATTTTTCTACTTATATCACATTACAGAATTCGAGATATATTTTTCCACTTGTATCACATTACAGAATTCGAGATATATTTTTCCATTTATATCACATTACAGAATTTGAGAAAAACTAAAAAAAATTGCATTAACTCTTGGCCGAGTAAAGCTGAAACAAATGGTTTTACTTCCAGAAACAACACAGGAAAGGAGGTATT